CCCTACCTGCCAATTGAAGATGAGACTCAGCAAAAATCCTTTCTCAACTTTACTTCCGGATTCGCGGCACCTACTCCAATTCAAGCAGCAGTGTGGCCTTACCTTCTTGCAGGGCGGGACTGTATTGGAGTTGCGGAAACTGGGTCTGGAAAAACCCTTGCATTTGGTGTTCCGGCCATCCGCCGTATTCTAGCACTTCCGGCAAAGGAGAGGAAGGGCGTGAAGGTTCTTGTGGTTTCACCCACTCGAGAGTTGGCTATGCAAAGCCATGAGCATCTAGACAAGATGGCCAGGGATGATGGTTTGACTGCTGTTTGTGTATACGGCGGTGTACCAAAAGATGAGCAGAGGAGGCTGTTAAAGAAGGCGACGATTGTAGTTGCTACACCAGGGCGATTGAACGATTTGATTCAGGAAGGTGCAGCAGATTTGAACAAGGTGGATTACATGGTACTTGATGAAGCTGACCGCATGTTGGACAAGGGTATGTTTGTCTCGTTTCCACTTGCCTCTGCAAATTGCTAACGACTATGCCCTGGCTGTAGGTTTCGAGGAGGACATTAAAAAGATCATTGGGGCTACCTCACCTGTTGGGCGCCAAACGCTCATGGTATGCATTGCTCCAATAATCCATAATGCTATGTATAATTTTGCTTACACAGTTCAAATAGTTCACTGCAACCTGGCCCCAATCTGTTCGTGATCTCGCTGCTACGTTCATGAAGACTCCTGTTCACTTCACCATTGGAGACAACCCAACCGGAGACCTTCGAGCAAACGTCCGCATCGCCCAGCAGGTTGAGGTTGTTGACCACTTTTCTAAGGAGAGACGCCTGAACGAGCTCATAAGGGGGCACCAGTCTGCAAACAGCGAAGCTGACAGAATTCTTGTATTTTGTTTATACAAGAAGGAGGCCGTGCGTGTTGAGAACTTCTTGCAACAGAAAGGATACAGAGTTGCTTCTATCCATGGAGATCTCAACCAAGGGCAGCGAACACAAGCATTACAATCTTTCAAAGACGGCAAATGCCCTATATTGATTGCCACTGATGTCGCGGCTCGTGGTCTCGATATACCGAAGGTCAAACTTGTCATCAACGTTACTTTCCCACTGACCATTGAGGACTATGTCCACAGAATTGGACGAACGGGAAGAGCTGGTGAAACTGGAAAGGCCGTCACTCTCTTCACAGAGCATGACAAAACTCATTCTGGTGCTTTGGTGAACATTCTCAAGGCGGCCGGGCAGCCTGTGCCGGAGGCTCTCCTGAAATTCGGTACTACTGTCAAGAAAAAGGAACATAGTGTTTATGGTGCATTTTTCAAGGATACGGAAAATGCTGGGTAAGCCATCTTTCATTGTATCCTGTACAGCCTCGTGCTAACAGGTATTCACAGGACTGCTAAGAAGATCAAATACTCAGATTAAGGTGTTTGGGTGTGAATCCTCTAGTTTGTTTCCCTTTCAATTCATTATTTTGTAGATATAGCACTTTATATTCCCTGGAGTCTAAGTATTGCAGGTATACCACGTGATATAGTACCGAAGCCGAGCCGGGATATATAGCGGGGTATGTGCGGCCGCAGGGGTGAAATCAGTTAGACCGTTTACCAATTGATTCCTAAGAACCGTCCCAAGTACCTTGAAATTGCGTTATATCAACCATATACCACATATAGGGAACATAGAATTGAAGTAACCATACTCGATAGGCTTATTTGAATTTGTTGAGTGCCGTAACCATGAGAGCTGTAGGTCAGTTAACACATTTATTTCTACCTAATATCGCCTGCTAATAAAGCATAGATATCGAGAATGGGAAGGGCCCAGTGGATGCTCTCTTCTTCGATGAGAATGCTCCAATACCTAAGCTGAAAAGTGGAGATATTTTGGTGAAGGTTAAGGTGGGAAGAACTCATTTTACCTGATGCTAAAGGATCGCTTCACTCTGTGGAATTTCTATATCCCGATCCACGTTTGCGCCATGACCATGAGCTTTCATGAGAGTGGGACTAGTACATGAAAAACATTTGAACTTAACATCTCATTCTAGCAATAATACCAGATTGATACCCTAGCTAGATTGATGAGACTCCTGCTGAGCTTTGTCTTACTTAGGCCTTCGGGTTAAACCGTATGGACCTCCTCCAACGTGAAGGCCGCTACCCTCTTCCCCCCCAAGCGCCCAAGACCCTCGGAGTAGAGTTCTCTGGGATCGTGGAGAAACTGTCACCTGAGGTCGAAGGCTTCAAAGAGGATGATGAAGTCTTCGGGCTTGCGTACGGTGGTACGTACGTATATGCCAAATCGCATATCCTACAGACTAGATGTTAATGAAACCATGGGTAATCACAGGTGCATATGCAGAGTACATATCTGTCTCAACAAAGATGTGCATTCACAAGCCTACAGAACTCACATTTGAAGAGGCCGCAGGTGTTCCAGAGGTATGTTGGCATGCACTGCATTATGCAACGCAGACTACAAAGATATGAGGGTAACCTCATACCTAGGTCTGGATCACTGCAATCCAAGCTCTATTTGTCGTGGGAGGGTTCAAGAAGGGTCAAAGCGTAAGCCACCTCCATTTACCTGCATCTCCACCAGAACTATTCTACCTCTCATTGCCAGAATACCCCTACTAAGTTTAGCTTCAGGTCATGATTCACGCCGCAGGTGTGTAATTCTTCCTTCATATCAAGCACCACCGATACCCGTCTACTACGTATAGAGTACGTGATACTAGTAGTGTGACTAACCCCAATCAAGCCTCTGGAGTCGGTATCGCAGCTATTCAACTCATCCGACACCATTCTCCCGAATCTATAATCTTCGCCACCTCCTCTTCCAAAGCTAAACTTGATTTCTGTACAAAGACATTAGGCGCAAGCCACGGAATTAACTACCGGGAGACAGACTTCTCAAAGGAAGTTCTCTACCTAACGGAGGATAAGGGGGTTGATTTAATTATTGATTTCCCGGGCCAGTCTCATTTCCAGAAGAATATCAATTCTGCGGGAATGGATGGGAGGATTGTGTTGTTGGCGCTGTTGAGTGGGGGTGTTTGTAAAGAGGTGAATATTGCGCCAATTTTGTTTAAGAGGTTAAGGATTGAGGGGAGTACGTTGAGAAGTAGGGACCCAGAGTATCAGGGCCTGTTAAGGGATAAGTTTATGGAGCTTGCATTGGATGCGATCAGGGAGAAGAAGATGAAGCTGTATATCGAGAAGGTATTCAGCTGGAAAGACGTGAGCCCCAATATCACATTTGTGACTTTGAATATTCACTGATTCCCACACCTCTTATCAGATCAAGGAAGCCCACAAGATGATGGAAAGCAATGCTACCATGGGCAAGATCATCTGTGTGGTTGACTGAAAGAAGAACGTTTTTGCATAAATCTGTATCCACTATACCATCTACACCAAAAAATGGACACCTGATTTCTATACAAAATTACCCTCAAGTCCACGAACTCAGAGGAGCCCCTCTTGAGGACTCCCCCATCATCCTACTAAGTACACATACCTTGTTACATGGAACCTTCCATTATTCTCACGTATCACAAATCCTCTCATACCTGCGAATATACCTCATTGATCTCAAATATAGCTCATTATTTCACGGATAGCTACATATTCACAATCCTCGGCCCCCCTCCGAACAATCTAGAATCCTATAATCGGCCTCTACTTTCCCATGGCAGGGTACAGGCAAGACAACCCACGCCCCCCCGCCGAAGGAATAAACAAGCAAGGCCATGCGAAAGCTGCCATGATCGTGGCCAATTTAGGTGGGAATGGTGGGCAATGGAAGGTTCCACGATCTCCGGCTCCTATTGCCATCTCTAGGCTAGCGATCTCCTCCTCCCTACCGGGAACGGTAACTATAATATACTCTATACGATATTGATTAACAGTCACGAAATGATAAACAGAGGGGAGAAGGGAGGCAAGCCAAGGGGGCTTTTCCGAAGTTGAAGCTTACAACCCATCACGGCTATCCCCCTTATTTCTTCTATCACGCCACCGCAACCACTGGGGGGCAAACTACGGCACAGCTATGAATGTTGAAACTACCTCACCACCCGGAGTTCTTTACCAGTCCCTGTTCCACACCCCGATAAATTCAATTCCGTACTTCCTCCGTGCCCCACCATAGAGCCACACCACTCGCTTTCAGGGCCCAAGCTCGGGGCAGATAGATATGTTTGCGCCTGAACGGGGGAAAACAAGCCCACGAGCGGACGGAATCTCACATAAGAGTAAAACACCTGTGATTTGTAATAGAAAATAATGCCAGCACATTCTGTTATACTCTATCTACTCTAAGTTCCATTTAGCAAGAAAACCCAAATAAATGGAATCAGACCCAAATTCTCATCTCACCCCATGGCGTGATTCGTCTAACGTCCCACTGTCTGTCTACCTCAAGGTTACACACACACACACCACACACACACACACCACACATATACCCTATACACACGCACATCTCGCCCCCCCCCCCCCCCCCCAAATTTCATATCCATGATCCACATAACAACCCCATACTTACAAACTACAACTAATCTTTCTTTTCGTTCTTTTCCAAGATCAGCATGTGCATTGCATTTCCGCCCATCACATCATGTAGGGCAGCCGTTTAAACGTTCTACCGTTAACCGTTTTCAATGCATGTAATCATGTACCATGTAAAGATGTGCTATGTAATGTGCCATGTAAGATCATCGAAGCTTTTTCAAATTCTTATCTGACTTGTTGCATCATTTCTTTCCGGCTCTTACTTCCCGCTTGCGCGCATATGCGTGGCTGTCTGGACCGGCTGCTGGGGGTTGCAGATGTTAGATGGCCGGTTAACGGTGATGCGGTGATGTATAGAGGTTTGGTTGCCGCCTATGCTTAGCAGGTTTTTTTTTTGGAGACTCAGGATATGTCAGGTGACTAGTAAAAAATTGACTATATATATTCAGCACGCTTGGATAATTTTATATTAAAAGGGAAGATGGCCGAGTGGTTAAGGCGCTACGTTTAGGTATTTAGTACCCAAATCCGTAGTGGGAAACCGCGTGAGTTCGAACCTCACTCTTCTCATCAAATTTTTTACTTTTTCGTTTGGCATAGATAGGATGTGGGGCTGACCTCGACTACCGCTTTTGGGTTGACTTCCCGATTGGTCGATTGCCCCTCTTGGTAGAGACGACTTCTGGCTTCAGCCCTCTTTTTAATAGCTTCTTCTCTCACATGATTACGGTACGTTGAGCTCTACAATGGTCATGACTCTGAGGCTCAAAGATCTACATACCTCTCTCTCCAGATCTTCTCGTCATATATAACTACCGTATCTACCCGCCGTCTACGTACCCTGGCACCAATGTAATTATTCCTGAGACATATTGCTCACCATTATACAAAGGATCACCCTACTGTACCATCATTGGTCCGCTACCTGACAACGTTGTATTTACACATATTGGTTATGCAACAGGGAGGTATGATATGCCTATTGGCTATCCGGTAACCCCTGGGTTGAAACCCCAGATTACGTTCGCTGTTCATGCGTTTTCGACTGCGTTGTTAACCTACTTTGCTATTAATTATATCCCACATGATTCATAACATACGTAATCTTCCGGAGCTCGAGTATACGTCAATATATCATGTCGTGGGGTCATTCCATATTTTGGTGTTGCTTTTTTTTTTTTTCGTACTGCATGGCTCAGAGTCGCTTCTAGTTCAATTCCCTCTTCATAAAAGAGCGTACTCGATCAGTGACTCTTTCATGCCGTGCTCGAATACGCAAATGTATATCTTGTAGAACAAAGGGTAATGATGCGGTATATACCTGGACCACGTATCGGAGTAGGTAGTATTCAGGACAGTACGTTGTATTCAGGAAATCATATCAAAGTAAGAAAGATAGCCGGCCCATGTACCCTCAGTGACCTTCCACCATCAAACTCCACCTCTGTTGGCCCCGATCCCATTCCGCCGATGCCATGCCAATGCTCCCGTGTCTCCGCCGCTTGTGCCCGTTCCCGTATCTCCCAGCCAAGACGATGATCCTGTCCAGTTAGCCCACCTCACCATAACCGCCAGCGCCATTTTTTTTAAAAATTTTTTTCCCACACTACCCAGAAGTTATGAACGATGTCACATCAATCAATATCAGTCCCAACTCCCCCAACCCGATGTAATCCCTTTGATCTTAGACATATCACTCCCATATTTTTATGGCAAGCAGGAAAAAAGGAAAACATAAAACACTATCATTCCCAAGACATTCCTTTTAGGTTCCAACGCAGAGAGATCACAAAAGCGTCAAAACATCAGATATAACAGCCAACATAAAAGAGAAAAAAAACCAACTTCAATGATATAGATAGATCGTTTCGTTACGGCCGTCACAAGCAAAGTGCTGAAGGGTAGTTGATGTTGTTGGCTAACAGCAAGAAGAATGAGTTGGAAGCCGCATGCATGCGTTGGCTCCCGAGAAAAGAAAAGAGATACAGAACCAATGGGAAGAAATAACCAGGAACACACTAGAGTATCCCAATAGTAATAATGGCGAAAGATTCGTTAATAAAGAATGTAGGTCCTGAATGGACGGGTTTCATAATAGCTTGATGTGGAATACACTGGAGCCGCCATACAAAAAGAATGCCTAACAAATCCGATTCAATCGCTGCTGCAAGCCAGCCATGCATTGAGAAGGAAAAAATCGCTGCGTCACTTCGTATCCAGTCCTATGGATTGGTTTTCGCGATAAAACAGCAGGTCGTTCATTCAATGAGAATATGAAATAGAAATGAAAATGAAAGAAGATTTTGACGACATAACACAATGGTAATCGAGAAATCAGGAATCCCAGCAGCGAATAACCCCACAGGTAGGAATAAAAGTCGCTAAAGAACGACAATAGTGAAACTTCGAATCAAGTGGAATCCATTGTGACTTATTATTCCTAAACCTAGTTATGAGATTCGACGGCCGTGACAATAAAAGAGATTCTTTTATATTTCTCTGTAAAACCCCAGATACAGAAGTGAAATTGTCGTAAAATCCGTTAGAAAGAAAATCCAAGGCGCCTCCAAACCATACGAAGATGATGAATGCTTTGTATTAAACTACCTATAGCTCATCTTCCCCCCCGTCGGGGATTGGCAGTAGTCGAGCGGGCACGATTCAGCTGCGTTGTTCGCGCAGCAGCATCTCTATTCTCGAAATTGGAGGTAGCCATGTTAGCTGCAGGAGCTGGATGACCAGAGCCATTACTGATGGTTTTCCTCCTTTTGAGCCCCATTTCGTCACCAGCACCTCTATCTTCATCACCCCTGCTGGAAGGTCTTGAGCCATGAGCTTCTTGATCATCCATCTCACGAATGCGCTTGTTTGATCCATTCATGTTTCCGAAAGTTTGCGTCTGGTTTGGAGTAACTGGAACACCCATTCCATGTTGTCCGTAACTCTCGGAAGTGCTCCCATTCGTTGCTTCCACTGAACGATCTGCGCCGTCGCTGATGATGCTGCTGTAGATGTTCCTCTGGGGAGGTGGGGCTCGAACTCCGCTAGTATTGGGTGCTCCGCGAGGAGGAGTTGAATAACCACTACTTTGCGGTACCCACGTCTGACCGCCAGCGGCAGTTCGAGGAGTCGACCCACCATTGTCCAAATTGCGAGAAACACCAACATTAGGAGTGGAGTATAAAGAACGGTTAGGCGTTCCTGGGCCCTGATGATTAGGACTACCCGTCATATCTGGGGAAAGGTGAGGCGTATCGCCAGGCGGGAAATATCCTCTATTGTTCACTCCACTGTACTGATTGACATTGGAATCGTACTCATGCTCGGGTTCATGGTCCGCTTCCTCCTCCTGATTGTCTCCTTCATCCTCTTCAAGACCACCTTGTTGCTCCTCAATTCCACTTTCATCCTTGACTTGGCCATCAGCATTGTTTTGACTGGAAGAAGGTCTTGAGGCATTTGGTCCACGGGAGGTGGGTGGAGGCATATTATCACGTGGCTGGCTCATGTTATAGCCTGACTGGGGCAATGGAGGACAAAATCGGGTCATGCCGCCTGATTGAGAGACGGTGCTCTGGGGCATGCTCTGGCCCTGTGAAGCATATAGAGGTGAGGAGCGTGCCTCATTGAAGTTGCTTGACGCACTATACTGCTGAAGCTGTTGGAGATTATTACCTGGGGGTGTGGTTGCGGGAGTTGTCGGCATGGACCGAGAAGAATTGATGACAGTATCAATGGCCAATGGCGCAGATCCTGAGTTAGGCATCATGTTTGGTTGGTTCCAGTGAAAGTTGTCGGATCCATTCATGTTAAGGCTTGAGGCACTGGAGGGCGGTGTTGGAATAGGATAGCTAACTGCCCGTGACATTTCTGGGCGCATCTGAGGATGTGGCGCCAAGTTCGAATGAGAGGGAAGATGCCCAAGTGGGCTCATTCCGTGAGAAAGTGGATGCTGGGACGACGGAAGAAGTTGAGAATCTCTCCGCATTGGAGGCTGGCTATTGTCAAAAGTTTTACGATTGTGGGCAGCCATCACCGCATTTGTCCGGCTGGTGTTGGTAGGATGGTATAGAAGTGCCCCAATGTTGTGTACAAACAGGGGATAGAGTAACTCTGTGATCTTCTCCTTGTTTGCAAAGTCCAGAGCCCTCTCAAACGGAATCCTAATCCATATTCGTTCGCATTAGTGAATGAGCATCGGTTGTGCATATTATGGATAGATGCGGTAAAGAACAAGCTTTTGATACGTTGCCATGCTGCAAGCTTACTTAACTATGCAAAGCAACAAAGGTATCGCTCATAAGCCACAACAAGAGCTAAATAAGTTAACTTACCAAACTCCCTTGAGATGCATGGGCCCAATCTTTACAACATGTCGAACCTTCTCACTCTTGAGTATCCCATCACGCCTTCCTCTGGTCATTCCGGCAACGTTCAACAATTTGGTCCCATTAATCATATGGTTATCTGATCCCAACCATGTGAGTTAAAGACAAAATATCGCCGCGGATTCAATAGGATGGTGGAGGGAACAAACCTTCACGACGAGCGACACATACGCCCTTAGCTTCAACCTGAAAGCAGAGACTTCCTTCATCTTCCCAGAGCGTAGCGGTCACCCTTGGCTTCATTCCCTGAGGGGCAACTTGCCCGGTTGTGTCAAATGAATGCTGACCATTAAAGCCACCTGGGCCTCCGCCTTGCGGACTGGTTTGTGGACCAGAAGGAGGAACAGAAGTGAGGGGAGATGGAGCAGGAGTCATTCCAGAAGTGGCAGGAAGTGGCAGTATACCCATCTGGCCTGGCATTGGCATTCCCTGTTGACCGGATGGCGATGAAACACCATTGCTTTGTGGAAAGTGGAATGGGTATGGCTGATGGCCATGGGGAGTGGGATAGGGCTGCATATGTGAGGGGTGGGGCTGATAGTGAGAGAGATTGTTGCCGGAAGTTGCTGTCTGAGGAGAAGGCTGTTGAGGTTGAGACAGATGATGCTGACTAGGGAAATCTAATGGAACACCGACGGCATAGCTATGGTTGCCATAGTCACTGCCATACCCATACTGTCCAGTGGGGTTCGAGTTATGGGGAGAGGAGGAATATTGATTATGTGGCTGCGAAGACATATTTGGGTGTGGTAGTACGTGCGAGGAAGACTGCATAGCTGAGTTGGGATTTGACGATTGGCCGAGATCAGTTTTGACTTTCGTTGAGTTCTGTACACCAATTCTTGTTCCGGGGTTGGGTGCGGTTCCGTTCAAGATGGAAGAACCCCCGGTGCGAGGCGAAGAGGATGTGGAATTTGCTGGAGGTGTAGGAATTGGGAGTGAGGGTGGTTTGTCCGAAGACATAATGTTTGTCTGAAGGCGTGGCACCTGCGACGGCTGGGGGGTGTAGTGAGAACTATAATTGCTATAGTTGTTACCACCAAATCCGAGCTCGATAGGTCGGGTCTGAACCTGGGAAAGTGACGGGAGCTCCAGTTTGGAAAGTAGGTGGGGTAGAGTCTTAAAAAGGTGGGCTTATTAGACTACAGCGGACCTGAATAGTCTGAGAGGGGATGTTTGCTG